AAGTATATATAATATATTTTATGATATATATTATTAAAAAGATTAAAAGCAGTTATCCCATAAGAAGGTGACATTGCCTTTACTACCCACCATAGACAAGCAAACAAATAGCCCAGCACCAGGAACGGACTGCCTTTTTTAAAACTGTTGATCGGAAGTAGAGCACTCAGAGTAAAAGGGTATAAGCAGGCAAAGTGGGACAGGGAAACGGAACAGGGAAAGGATCAAACAAAATGAAACATATATGAAAATCTCATAGGAAAACCTATTTATTATATTGTAAACAAATTTTATAAACAGATCTCTTGTGAACACAAAGGAAACCACTGTAGATCTGCCACCATCATGAAGGCAAGACAAGAATAGAAGACGCCCAATATTATGTCAGAGTGGCCGGGTCATCCTCAACTTTTGCAAGTGTTTAGCTGTACAGAGAATTTATGATCAGATTAGACATCGCGTTTCTCAAGTCCTAGGAATAATGGACATCTCTGGAAAAAAAATACAATGTGGTGTGCTATGACGTTATTTTGCTATACTTTAGAATTTTTTTTTCAGATAAACATGGCCAAAATGGAGATGTTATAATTAGTAGGTGATATTTAATTGAGTCAATAAAGATGAGGAGTCAGTGGAGGAAGATAAATGGACTTGTGTGGTCTTGAGAAGTTGAGCCTGTCTCATGTCAGACATGGATTTTTAGAATCTCTAGGAAAATGAATAAATTGAAATGGAAAAGAATGTTTGAGGGGTCATGAATTCTATGGGAATCTGGGAACTCTGGTGTTTATATCCTGGCATAAGGATAACTTTCATGGGAAAACTAATGAATTCATTTTACAACTCACTATTGTGCTACTTGCAAAGCATCTGATGTGTAAAACTGAGGAAACTTACAAGGAGAAATTGACAAATGTAATTACTATGATACATTATAAAAGGAACTGTTTGGATGCTTTGTGAAGAAATATAAACACTGTCAAATTCATTCTATGAAGCAAATATTATTCTGATGCCAAACCAAATAAAGATAAAACTAAAACCAGGGAAAACTACAGACCAACATTATATTAAATGGAGACACACTGAAAATATTTCCTCTAGAATCAGGAACAAGGGCTGGAGAGATGGTGCTGAGCAACAGCCGCCTGTAACTCCAATTCCAATGGATCTGGCACCCTCTTCTGGCTTCCACAGACATTGCGTGCATGTGGTCCACTTAATCTAGGAGAAACATTGAGCTGTGAAGCAAAAGGAAATTTGCAGGAAAGTGGATGGGACTGAAAAAAATTACAGGCTCCAAAGGACAAACAGCAAGTGTTCCTTCTCCAATACATGGGTCCTAAGTTCAACACTAGTTCTGTTCATGGAGTACTTGCAGAAGCCAGGAAAGTAGGAAGGGCTCATGAGTGGAGGGGTTACTAACGAAGAAGGAACAGTGGACTACAGGGGAAGGAATTGCAAAGAGGGTAAGTATTGTTGATGGTCGGATTTAAGCACAGACAGAGTGTGATGATTGGGTGATGAGAGTGTGGGAAGGGATGGAGTGTTGTCCCACATAAAGGGGATCTGAAGACCCCACATGGAAGCCTGTTGTATTGTAACTCAAATTTAAAAAAAAAAAAAGGAGAGAGAGGGCTGAATGAAAGTTACCATGTATGAATGGATGACTCTGCTGCTAGAAACAGCAGATTAATGGACACAATTCCCTGTCCCACGTAAGAGATGCCTCCACAGGAGGGCTTCAGGGAGACCTTAGAAGCCTGCAAATCAATACAAGCTCTTAATCCTCTTGACTGCTCACCAGATATACAGGATAAGATCATATTACAAAGGGCACCACACACCTTGGTTGTAAGACGTAGAGGAAAGAAGCACTGATCTGGAAACTTCCTCCATGCCAGCTAGCACCCAGACCACTGGAAGGCAATGAGTGGGCTGGATTGGGGAGAAAGGGAATCATTGGACTGCCTAGCTAGGAACCCTATGAAACAGATCTTCATTCTGCCAGCCAAGATATACCCACTTATATAGCAGCCTGACTGTGATAGGGGTAACCAACTGGCTTATGATGGGTTTGAGGCCTGCTCCATTTGGGATGGGGGACAGCCATGCCTGGTAATATAAACCTTATAAACATACACAACAACCCAGACTTGGGAAAGTCATAGGCCCAGTCATGGAACTTATTATAGATGTTTAACTAACTTGACAAAGCAGAAAGCAGCCTTCTAAATATCTGCGCTTATACCATAGACATGTGCTGACCCCAGGCTTTGTCAGAGAAGCATCTCCCTGTAGGTAACAGCAGTGGAGGCAGAGACTCATGACTACCCAAGATACAGAAAATAAGCAATGGCTTCAGGCCCTGCCCTAAACAAGACGTGTATACTGCCCCCTCTAAGACTAAGGAGCATGGTGGAGGAAGGGCAGGAAACGTGTAAGAGCCAAAGATAGGGGGAAGGACTAAACAAGAATGTTCTCTAGACTTGATACAACTATTACAAGTATTAATTCAACAACTGTAGTTGCCTGCACCTGACTCACACGGGACCTGATCTACCATTGTAACAGTAAGTCAAAGAAGGAAGAGAAATTTGTGGTGCCATACCCTTTATGTCTGACCTATTGATGCTGATAGATTCTTGGAGAAGGGGAATTACTAGATAGAACTGTGTACACAAGCTCCAACAGATATCTCCAAACCTATGACCACACAGACAACCCTGGTTAATATTAGTGGGTCATTTAACAATAAAAAGTCATGAATGCGTAAGGGGCATTTCTGGGAAAGAGGCAGGCAGGGTAGACTGGGTGTAGGAATGTTGACCTGAGAGTGATCCATATGTATTGAGTACATGTATGATTTTATCTAAGAATAATTTTAATTACTAAAACAGCAAAACAAAAAGAAATAGGCATTAAACTAAAGAAACGAAGACCGGAGCTGGAGAGATGGCTCAGTGGTTAAAAGCACTGGCTACTTTTGCAGAGGACCCGGGTTTGATTCCCAGCACCCACATGGCAGATAGCAACTGTCCGTAACTCCAGTTCCAGGGGAACCCAACACCCTCTTCTGACTCCGCGGGCATTGCGTGACAAGTGCACACATACAGGCAGGCAATACGCTCATTCACATAAAATTAAAATAATAAATTTAAAAAAAAAGAACAAGGAAACAAAGACCACAATCAAGAAGAGACCATTTGGGGGTAAAAAAGCAAAAAACAACTTAAATTGGCTGTGGTTACAAGACCAGGGAAAGAAGGGTAAAAAAAAAATGAGAAAACCTTCCTGAACTAACCTCAAGAGAGTTGTAAAAAGCCTATATACATAGACAAGGATCACAACATGCTTGTATTCATACGGTAATTCCACCAATTACACACGTTTCATTTCTGCCAATCATAACACTTACAGTTGAACGCATCACAACTTTTGATAACCAATCAGAAGCCTTGTACAGGTACAGCCTATATTTTATGAACTACAATTTTTTCCCTCAGAGAATTTTTCCCAGATGTTGTTGAGGACAGCTGCTACAAAGTTCAGAACAGGCAGGCATGAGTATCTCTGGTGTGCTGAGTTGCATTCAGGGTATTTGAGAAGTTGTTGCTGAAGAAGGCTTCTGTTACCAGTGCAGACTGGAGCAGTTGTGACTGGAACAAGACCTCTCGAAGCAGACGTGCATGGCAGCCATGGTTTCAGAGTTCTCTGCATTTAGAATGCAATACTCCCAAGGTGTCTGTGAGATGTTCCTAGCAAATGGGATACTGTGACAGGGTAGAAGCCAGAGGAAGGGGGATTTTGTTGGCAGATTGGTTGCCAGCTCCTTCACACATCAGCTGGGTAAAAGAAGGTTCTACTAGCTGTGAATAAAAGGGTACAGTGGGCCAGACTCCAGAGAGTCAGATCATGTAGTCAAATTTCACCAGTGGAGAAAATTTCCATACTCACTTTAATTACGCTTAGAAAGACACAGTATTTCCCAGATACGTTTTTACATGAATGTTTTTAGCGTGATGGGTAAGCAACAATTGTATAAAATGCAAAAACACAAATTTTATATACTTATGATATTATTTAGAGATGTTTTTATTCCTCATGAAGACCAAACAGAGTCTGGACACAATGGACTCATGATTCATAAGAACAAAGGGTCCAAAAGAGGGAAAACAAAGAGAAACAAAGCTAGTGACGTTCATCAGCCACCAATCAGGGTTATACAGAAGAGCAATGGAACCTTGTAAGATGGAGGAGAGGGTGTAAGAAGCCAGAAAGGTAGACACCAGGGCCAGGATGCTCTGGGTGGCTCTGGACTCCGGGGAGGTTCTGGTGGAATCATGAGCCCTGCGGATGTACTGAACTCGCTGCTTGTGCCTGTACAGAATGACAACCATGAAGCTGCTGGACCAGACCATGAGCACAGAAAACAAAACTTCAGGAAATGCCAATAATGCTATATAGAGTGAGACCGTGATTTCATTACGATTGGTAATGAAGCAGTATTCAAAATCTCTTTGTCCTGTAATATTTTTGGTATTCCTTTTGATATTTGCAAGCACAGGGAAAAGAAAATTTACCACCATGTACAGGACCCAACAGAAGGAAATGGAGAGGCCAATGTGCTTTGGAGCTCTGACTTTGTGATCCTTCCAACAGGAAACTCTGGGACTGATGGTGATGGCCTGGAAGACACTCAAGAGACAGGTGGAGGCAATGGACATGCTCCTGCAAACTCTTTCAATGTACAAAGAGAGTCTGCACCCAAAGTCTGTGAAGAATTGCTTCCACCCAAAAGCTGCAATTATGTGGGGTACTCCTTTAGAGAGGATGATCAGGGAGTTGACTATCATCAGGTGCATGAGAATCAAATCTGTGGGCTTTAATATACATTTTCTATAGTAAAGGGATAGATAGGAGGACAGAAGAGAGATGTTTCCCAGAATTCCAGTTGTACTTTGTGATAGGAAAAAAATTCCCATTGTCATATTCCAGAAGTCCATTCTGTAATTCAGCACAATTTCCTTAAATTATGACCACAACTATTCCTCTGACCATAATGACCAATGACAAATGGTTTTGGCCTCCAGTCAAGGAGGGCTCTTTAATCCAAAGAGGAGTGTATTCTGAGCTCATGAGTTCAAGGTCAGCTTAAATCACACAGCAAGAGTGTATCCCAAAAATTTTGACAGGAGCCATTGCTTTCCAAGTATATTCCTGTTGAAGTGTTAAGACCTCAGCATGCACAGACTGATGATGTTTGTTGCCATGATCATAAAGTATACAGCATTAAGGAGGAGCTGGTCTTGGCCTGGGGGAAGCAACAAAATGTGAGAGAAAATACAAAATAAGTAAACTTTTCCAGAACATACTGATATTTACTAGTCTGAAGTGAAAGGACAACTTCAATGACTACCAGAAAACTCAGAAATATCAATTTGAATGGATGTCCATCAAAGTTTAAAGGCCAGTAATGACTAGCATATATTTCTATTAATAATATATCTATAGCCATAGATAAGAAATTTTTATTAAGATTACAATACAGTCCAGTGTTATGGTTGAAGTGAAACATTATGTCATAATAAGATTTAGCTCTTATCAAAACTCATGCCATAAAGACATGCTTGCTTGAACATTTGTTTTGGGAGTTAGAGTAATGTGGTATCTCATATTATGAAATCTTACACCATGCACAACAGAATAAACATAGACAAGATACACCAACAGAAATTTCAAGAGAAAAGACAATATTCAATGAATGTTTCCTAGAGCAGAAATGGTCAGTGTCTTTATTAAAACCATGTCAGGCTGAGAGGGTAAGTTCAGACCTCCAGTGGGGTAGCTGCTCAGAGCTCAGCAGACTACCAGAGAGTGCAGGGTTGTGGCCTCCCTCTGGCCTCCAACTACCAGAGGGCCTGAGAACCCAGGGGACAGCCTGACAGCCCCCGGATCCTGACTCCATGTGGTGGTAAGCTTCCCCTAATTGCACAGTACCATCCCCTACCTGGGATTTTGTGAGCCCCCCCCCAAGGCCCTAGGGCAGATCTGGCTTTGGTGGGCTAGGACTGAGATCCTAGAGGACAGCCTGAGAGAGTGGGTTTGGACCTCATCCATCCGGGTAACTGCTCAGAGCTCAGCAGACTGCCAGAGAGTGCAGGGTTCTGGACTCCCTCTGGCCTCCAACTATCAGAGGGCCTGAGAACCCAGGGGACAGCCTGACAGCCTGACAGCCCCCAGATCCTGCCTCCTTGTGGTGGTGAGCTTCCCCCAATTGTGCCATACCACCCCCCTACCTGGGATTTTGTGAGGCCCCTCCCAAGGCCCCAAGGGAAGTCTGGCTTTGGTAGGCTAAGACTGGGATCTCAGCAGACCTCAGAGACTGCCAAGTTCTGGCCCCCCTCTGGCCTCCCTCTGGCATAGGGTTGACAACACACAGGACTGCCTGAGAGAGCCTGGATCCTGCCTCCACATGGTGAAGGAAGCCTGAGTGTATCTGACTGGAACCTGAATTGGGTTTCTGTGGATACCCCTGAAGAACTGGTGTGAACTCATCAGTCCCCTCCAAAATAAACCTGAGAGAACCTGAACCCTGTACCAACCAGCTTTACATAACCAATGAGGAAAGGACCTAGACATACCAATGATATAAACAGAAGCATACTTCAACTTAATTCTCAAATCAGAATCACAAACAAAAGAAAGTCACATGCCAAAATCATAACGAAAGAATAATAAGATAGAAAGCCAAAACACTATGTCCCCACCAAGCTCCACCAGTCCTGTAAAAGCGTTCGACAAGGAGAACCCCCTAGAGATAACCCAGGACACTGAACTTAAAAGAACAATGATAAACATGATCAAGGAATTCAATGGATTTAAAGAACACATGAACAAAAGATAGGGATAAACTTCTGAATGAATTCACAAAACAGAAACATTGAAGAAAACTCAGGCAGAAATGAAGAAGGAAGTGCAAAACTCAATAAGCTGACTTGAAACAAAAAGGAAAAGCCTCACCTCTAGAATGAATGAAATGGAAAACAGAACATCAACACTAGAGGATAAAGTTGAAGAATTGGACCACTCAAGTAAAGAGTATGGAAAATTTTCCAAAAGACAGGTTTAGAATATGCAAGAGATGTGGGACACCATGAAAAGACCAAATCTATGGATCATAGGAATGGAAGAATTAAAATTTT